CCGCCCAGCCTTTGTATTCATAAACCGCACCATGCGCCTAGAAGTAGGCATGTTTTTGCGATTATCACACATTTCTTTCTCATCGCCGCTGCTGGCAATGCCGCCGACAGCTTTTCATTGTTATTATTGTTAGGGTTTTGACGATTATCCTTGATTGCGTTGTTTTTGTTTTCATTGCGTTGCTTTTTGTTTGCATTACACTTGCCTGCTTTGATTGTGATTATGAAAATAAATACATTAGGATGACTTCCTTGAAATCTCCAGAAGAGTTTGGAGTTTGGAAAAGATTGATTTTCAAGAAGAACTTGCAGACCTTTGAGCGCTTTGAGCGACCTCTAAATATTCTTGGATTTTAAAATAAAATTATAGTTTAAAAAACTAAGACCTCCCTATTATAATTCTCATTCGTACTGTATCAGGTATGTAACTTGAGAATAGAAATCGTTGCATCTTTAGGCGCATCAATATTACATAGTTACATCCCGAGCTAATAAAAGGAAGGTAAAAAGGGGATATTTTCTGCGATATACATTTAAAAATTCTAGGGGGTGAGAAAATTTAAACTCCAACTTTAATGGTTTTGCATGAATTTTTGGACCACCCTAGTGCTCATTCTTTATTAACATTTTATGGGGAAAAATTAGTGAAAATTATTAATTGCAATAAAGTTACATTAAAATGAATACTGAATACCAGTGCAAATTATAAAAAACTTAATAAATGCATTAAAGTTAAATAAAACTGACTGTTTTCCTATCAATAAAAACACGCTGCAGAAAAGAAAATTTTAGAAAATGATTGAAAAGTTATGTCTGGAATTATTGCAGCATAGTTCATAATTTTAAATTGCAGTTTTTTATAAAAATTTCACACAAATTTCAACCACATTACATTTTTCCGCCTTATTTACTAAAAAAAAAAATTTATTACTCGATTAATATATCTAATGATTAAATGCAAAGCCGAAAAATTAATTATAATTAATTACAAGATATTAATCGATTAATCGATTATTTTTGGTTTCAATATAAAATAATGAAATAACTCGTTTTCAAATTTGCTTATTGATTATAATCGTATAAAAAATAATAACTCACTTACAAATTTTAATGTAAATAAGCTTGCAAAAAAGTAATTTTTAAGGAATTTTGATTGTCAATTTGCTTCGGCTTTCCGAAGCTATGACCGTAGCTTTAGAAAAAAGGCATTCTGCGGGGACTGATGTACCAATCAAATGCTCGAAATCAGGTAAAGTTTTATTTTATTTCTTCCTAGGCTTCAAAAGTGTTTCGTTTCCAGTCTAAAACTTGGCAATTCAAATAAAAACTTAGCTCATCTTGGAGAAATGTATGTGAACTAATGATTTATAAAGAGCTCATAAGTCAAAATCATTTTCCAAAGAACTGAGCTAAATATTTTGGCGTGAGTCATTATGACTTTTTTCGTATAAAGTGTACGAGACACCCTAATGTCAACACATGCCTACATTTCAATAGCTGCTTGGATGCATTTGTATGTTTGCCTCCCAATGCCTGGTTTGTTTGCTTACGCTTTAGCTTTATCGTTATTATCCTTATTCCAATTATTCGGAATTATAAATGCCTTCCAGCCAGCGTGGCAACCTTATTATCTGCGCCTATGGTGCTAGGCTCGTACGCTCATTTGCTTATTCGCTTAGTTGGCATTGAAGTGGTAACCGGGTGAAAAGATTTTTCCATTTACATTCTCCCACTCACTCGCCTGCCGCTGCAAGCCGTTAGCTTTGTTTTGCTATCTTTTGTTGCTGTTGTTCTTGTTATTTCAGGCTTGTTAGCAGCTTTTCTGCTGTTGTGGCAACTTTACACTTTGTGGCATGGCGCAAAGGCGGCTTAAGTGTTATTTTGAAAACAGTTACCCCCTGTGAATGGGTTAAAGAATATTGGCGGGCTTAGCTGGCGTGATTACGATTTGTGGAGAATTAATTTAAGTTTGAGAAGAGTGTTTCTTTTTGTGCTTAGAGCAAATTATACATAAATTAAAAATCGGTTATGTTGAATGGGCGATAAATTTGCATGGGTGTTTATGATGCCTTAGCAATTGCGGTGTTTAGAAGTAGCACATTCGATTAAGAGCTTTGATTAAATATTGAAAAAAAAATTGTTTAAAGATTTAATAGAAAATCTACCACAAATACGACAGGATTACATTACATTATTTTTCCCAAATTAAAAGTATAATCCTGAGCAGGATTCGTACGACTCATATTCCCCTACTCCCTTCAAATCGAATGAAATCAAATGGCAGCTGTTTTATCTACAGTACAATTTATTCCGAATAGTCTGGCCGGGAAAAAATTGCCCTAGTAAATAATTAAAGCGAATTTAACTGATTCTCGAAACTTCACTACCCGTTATCTATTGTAATTTTGGAGAACTTTAGTTTTAAATTTTACCAAGCCCTATAAAATACAAATTACTGTTAATCGCATGAGCAAATCGTCGCACATAAGGCAAAAGAGACCATTTAGCTGGACAAAAATTGCGGAAATTGCGATGATCTTTAATATCTATGAAAATACGTATTAACGTTCTCTAATGTTTGACTAACTAAGGTACAGTAATGACTATGAAGCAATGTTTTGCATTCTGTTACTAGAGTACCCGCAACTTGCCGAATGCATTCGTGCGCACAGGCACCTCAATCACTTATACTTATTAATTATAGTATGTGTGGATGTAACTTTTTAAAATTATTTCTATATTAAAGAAGGACTTTTTACAAGTAAGTTTTTATTTTGACGTAAAATACGTCTTACGTTTCGATATGGAGGCTATACTCAAATGTTGTAGTTGTAATTTTCAGAGGTTAACGAAAACCCTTATGGCACGAGAACCACTGAAGCAATTTCAATGGAAAGTGTGACGTTTCAAAGATAAAATTCCAAACCTATCGACGGATTTATCTCTGGAAGTAACCAGTTCGGTCTCTGTCGTAGAAACAACGGTAAATATTGGCTTATTTTCGTGCCAATTTTGAGCCTTTAAAGTGCCCTAGCAACTTATGATTTGCAGATACAACTTCCATTTTCGGGATATAAGTCCTTTGGAGCAATAGAAATATTATCGTGTACAAATTTTATATAAATTCAACATAGAGCATTTTAAGGCAAAAGAATTTTGAAAAAATTAGCAAATTTTATTTATTACCAAATTTCTCGAAAACCGCTCGAATGATTTTGGTTTTGTGTTCTTTAATCAAAAATCCGAGTTTTTTCCTTTTGTTTGGTGTATGTGAAGTATCGGTTGATACGACTATTAAATTTGTGAAGTAAGGAAGCATTGAGGCAGCGTAACCACAATAAATGTTTTTCGATACGACCTCATAAGTGGTATTGCATTTGGCGGATACGAGGTATTGTGCGCCAAGCGACGAAATATATGATTTTTTTTTTTTTTTAATATCTAAAAGTACTTCCCAATGACATTAAATGGCATAGCTTTAATTCTCGTACCTATTAAAATAAACATTTGGTGGTTACTTGTTTACTCCAATTCGTAGCAATTAAATTTAAGTTCTTCCGTAAAGAACAAATTGTACATCAGTTACAGAATGTCTGGGGAAAATGTGACTATAACTATACTATAACAAATACATGGACCAAGACGAAAGTGGTATTCGTACGCCAGTCTCCTCGAAATGAAACGAAGCAATTTTCGACCTATAAGCTTCTCTTATTTCTTTCTAAAAACTTTTGGAAAGTCTATATGACCCGTACATCAGGGAAAAATTTAGTCCAAGAAAGCTTTTAGGTTGCCAGCACACGCCTACTCAAACTAATCTGCAGATACTGCACTCCATCAAATGTTGACTAACCTTGAATAGGCTTTGGTATTTAAGAACTTGCTTCAACAAGGTTTCTCCGAAGGCAATTATCAATTTCCTACAATAAGTACGAATTGCGAGGCCGCCGGCAGAATTAAGCAGCCTTCGTAGTGGCAAAAGAGCAGAGTTAGCGTCAAGATGTACCCCGAAAGCTGCCCATTTCTATAGAACCTGACAACGAATAATTTTCTACAGCAGATAACCAACAACCCAAAAATCTGCCTTCATCATGTAAAAACGCTGACTAATTGCAATTCTGGCTAACATATTAAAAGGTTTTTCGTAAGGCAAATGTTTGTTGTTCTAACACAATAGTCTTAGAAATAAAATTATAGCTTAAAAAACTACAAAACCCGCTTTTATTACAACGTAAACAACAAAAGTAAAAAATAAAACTGATTTAATTAAAATTTTAAAAACAACCTAAAATCATAATAAAGTAATTGACATTAAAATTAATTTTACCGGAAAACAAAACCTTCGGTGCTTGATATCAATTGTTGTGAACTTTTTATTTTCAGTTTAGCAATATTTAATAATGGCAATAGCAGGACTATAAAATCTATAAGGAGCACCGCACCCTTTCAGTATAAATTTTTTTGAATACATGGATATCGTGAGGTATTGAAATGCATATTTACTATCAGATTAGGTTGAAAGGAATGGAAATCTGAAAAACTTTTTAAAAGACTTCCAGATAACAGAAATGGTTTTCGGCGGAGCGCAGTGTAATAAAGACGACGGTAAAGCGTTTGCGAAAACGATTAAGCTTAAGTTTATAGCTAAGACAAAAAATTATTAAAAATATCACATTTTAGAGTTTTCAGACTCCACCTAAGAAAAAAGGGCTCAGAAATTTATTAAAATAGTATGATGGGGTTTTCGGCAGAAAAAAGTCAAACTCCACTTAACTTGTTTTTTTTTCTAATGCCCACAGATATGTAACAAAAGTTCATTGTCTTCTTTGCATCAAAGCAGTTAAACGTACATTCGACTTCCTATTTTTGCAGGCTGCTTAGTAAGAGCTTCCGTTAATTGCTTTTCCCCTTTCTACATTTTTAATGCAATTAATTTCTCTCTTTCTACTTACTAGTTTTTTCATACCTAATTCTCCTTTTCCCATTTGTCGCTCATTACAGATTATCAACAGCGGCGACTTGGATAGCTACCCACTACTGCAGTACCTCGACCTTTCACACAGTCGCATCGAAGACATTGAAGACGATGCACTCGGCCGACTAGAGATATTAGAGACGCTCTTCCTTGACCATAATCAGTTGGCTAAAGTGCCCATCAGTTTGCCCACCTCATTGGAGCATCTATTCCTGCAGCATAACGAAATCATGGACATACAACCGCAATCCTTTACTGGACTCAACAATCTACAAACGCTCGATCTCTCGGGCAATAAACTCTTGTACTTGCCAGCGCTGCCGTTGCCCAAATTGCTGACACTCAATTTACGCGCGGCCGGCTTGCGGGGCGTAAGCCAAGCCATGGTGCATACGTTGCCACGTTTGCGTGACCTGCTGCTCGATGAGAATCCAATTAAGTGCAGCGATTTGCTGAGCATCGCCGAGTGGGCCAGTCCATGTAGGATTGTAGAGCGTAGCGGCAGTAACAATGGCGATGGCGGACTAAACAAAACCGAACTGGAGAGCTTTAATTTTGAGGGTAACAGTATTATAGACGATTTGGGAAAAAATGAACAGCAGCAGCAGCAGCAGCAGCAGAAGGGCGGTCATAATCGGTTTGGCTCTGGCAAGAGTGCGGGCGGACAATTAATTGCATTGAGTGCAACTGCAGATAAACTGGGTCAGCAGCGTACGGACGACGTTGAAACGCTCGTTGATGGCGAGGCGGCAGAGCAGCAGCTTTCATCGGAAGAAGCAACAAAAATCGAACTGAAACAGAAGTTTGTGCGGATGCACAATTTTTTCGAAAAGTTTAAGAGTAATTGCGGTGCACAAAAACAAACAGCTGATGGGTGGCAGGCAGAGAACGCACACACGCCCACACCTATGTGCGCCACAGAATTTGAAATCGGCAGTGGCGAACCAGCAGAATGCACCGAAGTTGTGTCAGCAGGCAGCAGCGTCGAGACGAGCGAGGCAACTTTCAATTTGCCAAACGGTTTACAAACGCAAAGCGAAAAATCAAACGCGAAAATGCCAACGCTGCCGAACTTGCAACAACCAGATAGAAATAGAGAAAATATGACTGGCACAGAAGCGATAGATGAAGATGGTGGGGCAAGGAGAGAGACACAAGCGAACGGAATGCAAGTTGAGATGAAACTTTTCAAGTTTAATCAAAAGAATTTTACGGCTGAGATGGCAGCGAGTCCACAAGCAGCAGCTACAGCAACAACAACAATCACACCAACAACACCTACAAAGTTAGCTGCGGAAGCGACGTTTGATTACCAGGCAAACGCCACTCAAGCGCATGCAACAACAATTAGCAGAATAAACGAAAAAGTTAAGTCAGCACGGCCAACTGGGCCAGCGTTTGCCATGGCATACGCCCTAGCAACACAGGCGCCAACTCAAAGAAGAACAACGCTTGCAGGACTGGAGAGACCGAAAACGCTGGCAACGCCAACCAACGCATCGGTAGTGGCAAAAACTTTGCGGCAAGTTGCAATTGTTGCAACAGGAAGTGGTGCGGCAACAGCAGCCAATTTATTGAGGCAACAAATCACGGAAACAACAACAGTTGGCACAAAATTTGCGTCAGCAAAGTTCACCGGATCGGCAGTAGCAAAATCGATTGCGGGTGCAACAAAAGAGATAACAACAAGTAAACAAGCGACCGCGCCCCAAAGTATGCTTGTAAGCTTATCGTTGCAGAAGCAAGTGGATTCAGCAACAGCAGCAGCCATTATTTCGAGTAATAATCAAGAGCAGCAACAAGAACAAACAACACAAAGCCACTCGATAAATGCTAAACTGGCAGCTAAGTCATCATTAAATAATACCAGAGAGATTTCCGCATATCAGCAACGAGCAGTTGGTGCACAAGCCATGCTCCCAGGCATCGCAGCAACAACAACTGGAGGAGCTGCAAACACAACAACAAATGCTGATGCTGCAACATCTGCAGCGGCAGCAGCAGCAGCAGCAACACATGCCAGCACAGCAGTAACTATCCAGCAGCTGCCACATACAATATCGCCATTGCACACAACAGACAGCAACTATTACATGACAGCAACAACAACAACAACAGCGTCAACAATGCAATCCAAAATAAGCACTAAAATATTGCCAATGGCAGCAAGTTTCTTGCAAACTAAACGAGCTCAAGCAATGCCAAGCGCCCAAATGACTGCTCGAACAACTACTGCAACATTTAATGTTGAAGCAACAATGTTGACAACATTGGCGCAGTTGAGCGCCGGTGCTGAGCAAGCAGGTCAGAGTGGAAAGGGAGAGGATGGTTCAGAAGTTTCAAAAGCAACTGCGGTAATAGAAACAACAAAAGTGCAAACCTCCACAACAACAACAACAACAAGAGCAACAGACGAAAAACAAACAACACAGCTGTCACGAACAACAATACAGCCTGAGTCAATGGCCAAACAGAAAGTAGATAACAATTTAACTCGAAATGACAGCGACAATGACGGCTATAAAGTGCAGTCAGACAAACAATGGCAAGAAGAGGAAGACGCAAAGAGAGTGACAGCAACAATGGCAGCTAAACAATTGGCGAGGGCAAAGGCAGCACAATTTTGGCAGCAACATAATTTTAAACGAGCAAATCCGTATCCAAACGACATTTCCGGTCAATGGCGTCACAGCGAAGAGGAGCGCCGTTGGCAGGAGGCACAAGATGAAAGCACTACCGAGCACACAGTAGCTACAACAAGAGGACCCGTTACAACAACGTCACCACCATCACCTCACAAACACGAGCCGTTACAACTACACATACGAGATCGTCATTTAATTGGAACACCGTTGCTCATGCACCGTGGCGAAAATATGCTGGTGGAGGCGGCCGAGGCGCTCAGGCAAACGACTGTTACAGCTAAAACAACAACAGCAACGCACATTACTACACCTACCAGTACGGTGCAGTCTTCAAAAGCAACAAACGATAGTGTGCTGCAGCAGCGTACAATGTACGACAAAGCTTTGGCCACAAGCCAACTAATGGAAGCTGAGCATCAAGCGAACGTCAACCTTTCAAGGGAGGAGGAAACGAAAGCGAATCTGCTGCAGTTGATTACAAGAACTGCAAATAGCAATAACTTCTCTAACCCGGAACGCTCGCAAGCGGAAGCAATAAACGTTGAGACAAATGTGACGCCAGTACAAGAAATTGGCAGCGAGGACCAACAACGCCCGGTGAAGCAATACGATAGACATGCAGATAAGCAAATGTTGGCAGAAAAAGTGGTAGCCGCAAAAACAACAGTAATGGGCGCCATAACCACTGCAGCCACTGCAACCACAACGGACAACATAAACATGGAACAACATAAAGTTACAGCAAGCGGAGCGCACAAGGTGTACGCTACAGAGCGCCGAGTGCTGCCAAAAAAATATGACGATATCGCAGGTGCTGGCGTCGGAGGAAGGCACAACAAGCCCACGTTGATTATGAAGAAAATGACTATACAAACAAAGCACGCGCACCACACACAAGCACCGTTGCAACAGCACTACTCGCTTAACACGCCACGAGAAAACGAGTCGGTGTTACGTGAGCGCAGTGGTGAAGCGGTTGCGGGTGGCGTCCACGGATTTGTAGGCAAACTTATGAATGCGGAAAGCGACTTGTTTGAGGATAACAGCGCACATAACTGGAACAGCATCAATGAGCAAACGGAGTTGCCCCACAATATGCCACAACACAAGCACAGCACTGTGAATACGCCCGTTATAAGAGATAGCCGCTTGGGCTTGCTAGCCGCAATGCAGAGTGTACAGTTTGGTGAACAGGCAGCAGCGCAGGAAAAACTCGATGCGCCCACAGCTCAACTCTCGATCAGCATGCAGAGCCGCACGCCAACACAGTCACAGCTGCACGAGCCAATGCACGGGCAGGAGCGCGCTGCTGCGCATATGCAAACGCAAAAATGGCTGGACGCGCGCAAAATCGGAACGGGTACGGCGCATCCAGGCGTGGTAATTTTACTCTCTTTCTCGCTGCTCGCTGTACTTCTGGTCGGCCTAATGCATGTCTATCGCTGTGATGTGTTGCCATGGCGGCGCCACTTGCTCGCCCATCAGCAGCGACCGCATCATCAGCGACAATTTAATGCCACCGCAGACGATGATGTGCACAGCTTTTTGCATTACCACAACAATGGCGGCGGTGAGCAGCAGCAGCAGCAGCAGTGTACGCAACAACCGCCGCGCTGGCATCACGGCACGCGGTCACGCGCGCCCTACAGCTCGCCGCTACACAATTTGCATGTGCGCGAGTTGCAAAAAACTTCAGCTGTGGAGCTAGAGGCAGCAGCACGCGTGACGCGCAGCTATTATGATGTTAGGCCATATGCAAAGAGCACTACAGCGCCGCGGCGCAATGACAGCACGGGCAGTAGTGCCAGCGGCGGCAGTGGCGAGGCATCGCGCAACAGCAGCAGCAGCCTCAGCAGCACACATTCCTCATCCACGGCGGGCATATTAGAGGCAGCAGATGATGCTTTCTATGTGGAAATGGCGGCAGAGTGTGGTCAAATGACTGGCTGTAGTAGCGTAAATGATCCACAACACTGTGACATGTTGCCGATGGAGCTGTTGGCGGTGACGTCAGCGGGCAAGCGAAATGATGGCAATGATGCAGATGCAGCAGTACATGAGACAGCGAGTTTGCGGTTGGGTGGAATGGACGTTGAAGAAAAAATTACCGGCGCAGTGATAGGGGCTAAGGCGGGAAAGCAAGTAACAAAGGCGCGCGACAACAGTGGTATCAGCGCGCTGCAGGCCAATGGCTGTAGGAGTAAAGTGCGCTCGAATACGGCATCTTACGTAGCACCGTCATCGTCCACGCGTAAATTTGACTTGTGGTGACAATCGATGTTTCAGCGCCAATATGCGCCATTCCAATAAATATGCGCGCTAACGCAAAGTGACAGGAGTGAGAGCAGAGGCATCAACGAAGGTGAAAAAATTTAGACCGAAAAGGCTACTGGCATATAAGAGTGGAGTAACTGAGATGACAGCTGACAGCTGACAGCTGACAGCTGACTTGCTGACGGCTTATGAACTCGAATGTGGAGCAGGCGCAGTAAAGAACATGATAAGTATGTAGTTTTATTGTGTAAGTTAAGATACTTAATTAGGAATGTGGTTCAATGTGAACACAAATGTATGTATGTCAGTTTATAAGTATGTTAGCCAATGCATTATTGATAGGACGTTGTAAAAAAATTAGTATAGAAACTAATTTGGTGAAGATTAGGTAATTATTGAATAGATTCAGAAAATGCCAAAAGTACACACTCATGTTGCAAAGAAATTGAAGAAAAATGTTTAAAAAATTTAACTTTAAAAAATATAGGTACATATTTCCTAGTTTTTATGTTAGAGTTTTTTTCAAAACACTTTTTAATACTTCAAAGGTATTTAAACACCGGACACATATACATAAAAAACACCTTCACTTTTGATGAAATTTTCGCTGGAACCGCAATACGGTCATACTTGGACGTCTAACATTAATATACCTGTAAAGTTGGAGGGGGCTAATGGAAGAAACTACAGCCTACTTCCTGATATGTATTACCTTAAACTCTTGTTGAGATAATTCGATTTAGAGATAATAAATAAATATGCACGAGTACATGCGGGTGATTAGCCAAGCGTAACGAACAGTTGAATCATAGCTGATAGATTGGAACAATTCTTGGAAAGTTAAAAGTCATCAACTCACTCCACATAAACTTGTGCAGGTATACCTAAACCTTTCGAAAACTGAGCTGCTTCTTGTGTCTAAAGCGTAAACTCTACTAAGACGTATTTTCACTAGGAGATATAAAATCTCGATTTTTCAATCGCCCACGATAGGTGGATATGCCCTAACGCTCTCTAATAGGGTGAAGTACATTGGCTTTTTCCTTGACAGAAATCTTTTCTGAATGCCGCACATCGAATTCATTTCCGAATACAGCGCACTCCTTCTCTTTCGGAAGCATGAACAATCAAAAAGAAAGCGTTGCACAGTGGGACTCGGTGGAAAAATTAAATTTTTGAACATTGCATTTATTGCATTCAAATGCTTTATCCTCATAAAGCTTAGCACCCAGCTCGCAAGAAAAGAAAAACTTCATATAAGAAATCAAGTTCTTAAGAAATTTGCTACGCTTTCTACTACGGTTTTCTAAAGTTGTTGTGTGAAAAAAGAGCACAAGGCAACCCATGTTTGCAACAGAAATATATGCCCGTTCCGTTATTTTCTGAGGAAAGAGTGAAACAGTAGGCTGTGAAATATTAGATGTTAAAATTCCTTTGAC